CGCCTTGGCCTCCTCCTTCTCCACTTTGGCGTTGAACCTCTTCGCGAGCATGTGCATCTCCCACTGGTGGACCTCCTGGGTTCTTAGCTGCCCTTCTGTGTGGATCCGTGCTTTCTGAGCAATCGCCTGTTGAAAGTTGCGCATCTGCTCCTTGTGCGTCTTCTCGGCGTTCCTGAGCTGTTGACGCGCCTTCTCTGTGTCCTGCTCCTGCTTCTTGTTGTCCTCCTCCATGGCTTGTTCCCTGCAGCTCCACTCCGCGAGCTGCTCGTGCTGTCCACGTTGCGACCTTCGCTGCTGCTGGTCAAGGCGCTCGTTGATCTTTCTGAGGGCCTCCCTGGTGTCTTCTTCGTTTTCCTTCGGCATCTCGTGATGCTGAGTGGGCGTGGCTGCCCTGCTCGTGGGTGATTGCCTCGTTCTCGCTGATGGATGTGGCGGTCGTCCTCTCCTGGGCCCTGCATTCGTATCCTCGTCCGATGTCTCCGCCTTGACTCCTGCAGCTTTGGCCATCTGGTCTCTTGTCTGTGTCATCAGCGTTTTGTAGACCTTGATGGCGTGCGACGCCTTAGCCTCCTGGTCCAACATCTGATTGAGTTGCTTCTCCAGGCACGCGTGCCCTTCCTCCAGTTTCTCCAGGGTGCTTCTGAGCTGTTTTAACCGCTCCTTCGATGTGAGGACGGAAGGGACGTTCTTTGGGGTGATGACTGCCTCCTGCTCGAGCTTGTCCGTGTCCAAGTCGGCGCTGCTAGCCCCTGATAAGTTCTCGGCCAATCGCGCCACTCGTTGGCATTTCGTTTTGTACCACACGAACATCATCTCGTCGTCCGTGGGTGGCGTGCTCCAGCTCTCGTGCTCCATCACGGTCGCGAACGGCACACGCGTGATGCTGGTCAGCACATGTTTCTGCCGCTGCGTGTACTGGAAGTTGCCGACGTGCTCTGCGTAGCGAGTCTCATGCTGGGCCTTCTTCCTGCTTCTGGTGCTCGTCCTCTTGGCCGTGCTGCTGCTCCTCCATTGGGCCCTGTCCTTCCAATTGTGCTGCTGCTCGCCGTGGTGCTGCTGGTGCTGCGGTACTGCTGGTTGTGCTGGGCATGCTGTTGTGCGTTGTGTTGCTGCTGCTGCTGCTGCTGCTCGTTCTTCCAGTCCGAAGGATGCCTTCCAACTGGTCCGAGCTGAGCACCGACGGCGGGGCCTGGGTGTGTGGTCCCTGTTCCTGACCACCTCTCCAGAGCCCCGAGCGGAGTTTGGTCTTGTGGACCCTGTTCCTGGCCACTTTTTCCCAGCTCCATTTGAGCGGGGCTCGAGGTGCGTGGTCCCTGCTCCTGGCCAGCTTTCCCTCCAGCTCCCGCGGTGCTGCCATTGTCCTCTCTGCGCCATGTCGTCCTGCATGGACTGATGCTTCTGGGCACTGGTGGCTGTTGAGGCGGTCGGCGGCCGCCACAGCGCGGATCAGAAGCCGATCTTATCCCTGTTGGGCGCGTAGGCGGCGATGCCAGGACTCCTCCCGACCCCTAGGCGTTTTGGGGTCCTAGCCGCGGTCGCGGCCGCGGTTTTGGGTGTTTTGGGGTCCTAGCCGATCTTGTCCCTGTTGGGCGCGTAGGCGGCGATGCCAGGACTCCTCCTGCGCCCTGGGCGTTTTGGGGGTCCTCGCCGCGGTCGCGGCGGCATTCTTTTTTTTGGCTTTGCTCTTTGATGGCCCGCGCGCGAGCCACGACCGCTGGGGCGACCGACGAGCGGCGACGGTCCCGCCCCTCCTCGGCCGAACGGTTTCCTCCTCGTCCTCCTCCTCCTCCTCCTCCTCCTGCTCTGTCTTTTCCTCCTCCTCCTCCTACTCCTACTCCTACTCCTCCTCCTCCTCCTCCTCCTCCTCCTCCTCCTCCTCCTCCTCCTGTCTTTTCCTCCTCCTCCTCCTCCTCCTCCCACTCCTACTCCTCCTCCTCCTCCTCCTCCTCCTCCTCCTACTCCTCCTCCTACTCCTACTCCCACTCCTCCCCTCTGTCGGTTTCCTCTTCATCCCTTCTTCCTTCTGTCCTCCCAGAGTTTACTCCTCATCCCGGAGAAGAGGAAACACCATAACATAAAAGGTGTTGTCGTTCCGCGCAGCTTTCTTGGATCTGCGCTGGCCCTTCCCCCGGCGGCGCCTCTGGCGCCGCCCCTGGCGCGCTCCGCGCGCCAGGGAGGGGGGTCTAGCGCAGATCCAAGAAATCCGGGCGGAGCGCCAAAAGCTTACGTGTATGGTGTTTTTCTTCTTCTATCCTCTGCTCCTGGAGTTTCCTCTATCCTGTTCCCTGTTCTTCTCCCGACCCCCCGCTTCTTAAGTAAAACATGCCGGCATGCTTGTGAGATGACGGCAATCGGCTCAGACAGTGCGGGCGCAAGTCCAGGAGATTGTGGCGAGCGTCGTTGTGGGTCGTCATGTGGCATGTCGAAGCGAAAAGCAGACATACCAAAAAGTGGATGGGATGAATGACCAACGATTTTGTCGAGAGCATACGAGATTGCTTCGTAGATTCTTTAGGCTTGCGCCACACCGCCGACCCCTTGTTTTTTTTGGCGGCAATCTTGGACGTCTTGGGGGCGTCATGGCCCGACTTTATCCCCCGCATTCCTATCGTCGTCGTCTTTGCTCCTCCTCCCAGTAGTCGGCCCATCCCGCCACCGTGCCTGAGTTGTGGTTCAGAGGCCTCTCAGATTCAGGAAAAAGTCCAGATTCGGTGCGCGAAGTGCAAGAATTTCTTGAAGACGGAGGCGGAAGTGGCGGCGAACCAGTACGACTCGAAAGATGCGGGGGAGAGGCTTTGCAGGGCGTGCGCCCGCAACGAGAAGGGTGGGCGGAACGAGAAGGCGGATGCAGAGAATCGCAAGCGGAAAGCAGAGGCGGACGCGAAGCCGCTGACGTGCGCGGCGTGCAAAGGCGCGTTCTCGGACACGAAACATTTGAAGCAGAAGCAAGTGGAACATCATCGAGCGGCGAAAGGAGCTAAACTGGTGCGCAGAAGCTGCGAGGAACTCGGGTTCACAGCGCGCAGTTGCCAGGCTTATCAGTGCAGCGGCGCGTGCAAGAGAGGACTACCAAAGTCGGCGTTCCCCGACCCTCACAATGTCCCGCGCGACGCAAAGAAGGGCACCCTAAAGTGCAAGACGTGCAAATGATGCCCAATCGGTTGCGCGTACTGGGCAGAAAGGGAGGACGGGAAGAGGAGGATGGGGGGTGAGGCGGAAAATGGGGGGGATAAGCATCGGTGAGGATGAGCTGAAGCGGGGCAGGAAGAGGAGGAGGGGAACGAGGAGGAAGTGTAGGAGGAGGAGGAGGAGGAGGAAGAGGAGGAGGACGGGGACACTGAGATGAGGCTCCGGGTTATGGGGCTGGGCGCGACTCGAAAAACCGGTGTGTTCAGGGATGTCCGTTGGGATTTTGCGGGGGGGCTTCTTGCGGGCCTCTTGGAACAGTTTCGAAGGCTCTTGGGGGCCGTTTTGGGACCTCTTTGTGGCTTCTTGGGCGCCTCTTGGAACGTCTTGGGGGCCTCTTGGGGGGTTCTTGGGGCCTCTTTGGGGCCTCTGGGGGCCTCCTGGGGGCTTCTTGGGACGTAAGGCTGGGTTTTCCGGTGCGTGGTCTCTCTCTGGAGCCCCTCTTGGGCCCGTCTCCGGGAGGTTCTTGGGCCGTCTTGGGCGGTTCTTGGGCCGTCTGGGGGCTCTTTCTTGGGCCGCCTTGGGCGGCTCTTGGGCCGTCTGGGGGCTCTCTTGGGCCGTCTTGGGGGCGTCGAGGAGGCCTCTTGTGCCGTCTTGGAGCAGTCTTGGGAGCTTCTTGGGCTGTCTTGGAGCGTCGGAAGGCCGAAAAGGCGAAAATGATGATAACATCGAAAAACAAACAAATGAAAATCAACGATTTGGGCCTCTTGGGGTGCTCCTCGGGGGCCTCTTGGAGGTCTCTTGGGGCGTTTTGGAGGTCTCTTCGGGCGTCTTGGAGCCCTCGTGGGGCGTCTTGGAAGCCTTTTGGGGCCTCTCGGGCGCTTCTTAGCGCGTCTAGGCGGTCTCTTGGGGCGTCTGGGGCCTCTTGGAACGTCTGGGAGGCCTCTTGGGGCCTTTTTGGCCCGTATTTGGGCCTTTTTGGGCCCGGAAGAGCGTCGTGAGTCGCTCGTGGTGGGCACCCCCCCCCCCCCCTCCAAATCGACCGGACCGGGTTCCCCGGAGAGGGGTTTGGGGAGGGGGAAGCATCTCACACGCCGATGACCCAGGGGGTCGGCGGATTACGAGATTGTTTCGTAGATTGCATGAGGCGCAAATCAGACGAACACGCCAGGGAGCGCAGTAGACCGCATGCAAGATTCGGTACCAGACCATTGGTAGTGATCGTATTTTGAAGTTATACTACATGGACAAAGGCAATCACATCGCAACGGTTTTTTTCTGGTGATATGCCATGTCGTGCAGAGGCAAATTGACCTTGAATTACTTCACGTGCGTGTCAGCCTGAACGACTTAGGAGTTCGACACGGCCAAGAACCGTCACGGGTAATGCAAAAGGAGTCATTCGATGGGATGTTTGTTAAGCGGATACTATCGGGCCGTGCGAAAGGGGGGGATTGGGAAAGGGGGGTTACGAAATTTGCTGCATGCAGCTGGTTTCGGCCTCACCGAGGGGCCCATTCCTCGATACGTAGCCGCCTTCGGCGCCGGGAGGCGCCGGGAAAATCAGCTCCGTGAGCTGATTCTCAAACCCCCCCTTTGTTATCCCCCCCTTTCGCCCGACCCGATACTAGCGGCGAGCGTGCGACAGGAGCTGCCTTTACCACCCAACGGTTTGTTTCGCATCCCGCCAACGTGCCAGGGAGGTCCTACATATACCTGCAGCCCTCTCGACGTCCTTTTCCGCCGTGGAGCTTTCCATCGAAGACACGCTGCATGCTCCCGCGCTTGTGTGTCTGACACTGCGGACGGGGAAAGTGGACAAAGGGAAGATGCGAGGCAGCGGAACGAGCAGCAGGATACTCCACCGAGCCAAGCCGAGGCCCCAGCGCGACGACGGTTGGGACTCGAAGGGCCAGCGCAACTGGACCATCGAGGCCCCGTGGGGTTCATCCTCGCGTGTTTTGTTCTCACATGCCCTTCCTCTGTGAATGGGGGGAGAGAAGCGACGAGAGCGAGGAGGGGCATGAAGACGAGGAGGACGCAGGAGGAGTGAGGAAGAGGATGTGAGGAAGATGGGGAGAATGCGTATAAAGGGGCCAAAAGACAGGGGGAGATATGAGGAGATGGGGGCAGGAGACATGGGAGAGACAAGACAGAGACAGTGTGCGGAGGGAGCTATGCGGAAGATGGGGAAGTTGTGGGCATGAAGACGTGGACTAATTATGAGGTATGAGGGGTGTAGGGGATCTATGCGGAAGATGAAGAGGATATGCGGAGTCTGAGGAAGGAGTTATGAGGCAGGACAAGCGTAGGGGCCAGAAGGACGGAGGGTGAGGGAGGGGGTGTACCCGCCCGAAGGTCAGGAAGGCGACGAAGGACAGGCCCGTGGCCAGGTTCCTTGGGTCGGTCGCCACGTCGTGCGCCGAGTTGTTGCGGTTGGGCATGGGCGAGCAGAGGGGTTGGAGATGGAACAGAGAAATAAACTAAGAACACGCTTCAGCGTATCTTCGTCTCGGTCACTCTTTCCCACTTAGAAGTTATCCTCGGGTGCACCTCCCTTTCCGTCTCCTCCCTTCCTTTTTCCCCTCGGCGCGAGAATGCCTGCGCAGGTTCGAACTCGATGCGAACGGGGCGCTGGTGGTCTCGGAGTTGCCGACTGGCTGCCTGCTGGAGAAGTGGAATGCGTCCGAAAAGGTCGGGGGCGTCTGCGCTTCCTGGCGGACAGGGCGGAGGACGAAGGACGAAGGACTAGGAGGATGAGAAGGCGGAGGAGAGAACGGAGAGGGAGCGGGGGAGAAGGAGGGGAAGGCGGAGGCCAATGGGGGGGAGTAGGAGGAGGAGGAGGAGGAGGAGGAGGAGGAATGGGGGGGATGATGATTAGACATGGCACGAGTGAGAGGGTGAGGCGGGGGGGAAGGAGGGGAGGGAGGCGACGGAGGTACAGGATGTTATTATCATTCCCGTCCAATGTGTTTCTTATTCAGCCCCGCTCCCCCTCCGCCTCTTCCTCCCCATCCCATTTTCTTTCAGAATTCGTGGGACACAGCGTTCTAGAACCCCCTAATGCTAACGCCGTTGAGTTTCTACGAGCATCGAATCCATGATAATCTCGACCTCCCTTTCTCTGTGAGGTGAGCAGGTTGGCGAGGGGGGTAAAGGCGGGGCAAAGAAGGGAATGAGGAGGAGGAGGAGGAAGGGGAGGAGCAGGAGGAGGAGGAGCAGGAGGAGGTGGAGGAGGGATGATGACGAGTGGGAGAGGGAGAGGAGGGATGATGAGGATGATGAGGAGGAAGGACGATGACTAGGGGGAGAGGATGGGGAGAAGGGGGAGGGGGAGGGGCACGGGGAGGAGGGGGATGGGGAGGCATAGGGAGAGGAGGGGGAGGGATAGGAGGGGGAGAGGATGGGGAGGGAGAGGAGGAGGGGGAGGGAGAGGAGGAGGGAGAGACATATGGAGGGAGATGAAAGAGCATGGGAGCCCCCCCCCCTCACCGAGCAGGTCGGCTTGGTCGTCCCGCCAGCGCAGATCGGCGACCGCGTCTTGTCCATCAACGGGGCGACCCGCCCTGGCCACATGAAGGACAAGATCGACTTCGCGGTCGCCTCCTCCTCGTGCTCCTTCTCTCTTTCCCCTTCTCCCCCTCCTGCTCCTTTGCCTTCTCATTCCCCCCCAAAAGTATCCAGCTGTTCCTCCTCCCCCACCACACGTTTTTTCTCCCTCCTCCTTCCTCCTCCTCCTCCTCCTCCTCCCTCCTCCTCCCCCTCCTCCTCCTCCTCCTCCTCCTCCTCCTCCTCCTCCCCCTGTCGTCATCAGCGTACTCCCCTGGCCATGTTCAGTCCCAAGCGTGGCCTAGGTGTTGGCCCCCGCAGGATTCGGGAGTCAGCGCCGCATTCGAAGTGGCTTTGTTCGCGCGAGCCAGGCCACCCGGTGTGGGGCGCTGCGAAGTGTGTTTGGCGAAGATGCGAGGCCGCACCATGAACCCAAATCAGAGGTAGCGCACGGTGATGCCGGCGAGGAGGCAAGCAACAGGTTGGTTGGCCACCCTTTGCGAGAGCAAGCGAGACTTGCGCTAAAAAAACGGATGCGAATTCGTTTGCCGCAGCCTCGGCGGAAGGTTCGGACAAGTTGCCGGAGCAGGTCCTCCGCCGGCAGATCCTGAATGCGCAAACATTGCCGAAACGTTTCACGTAGGCTATCGTGGAGCTCCGCAAGATCCGAAAAGAAGGTCCGCGAGCCCGTGACCCGATGTAGTTCAAAATCGCAGGCCTCCAGAAGACAATGGGTGACAACCAGCAGGACATTGCGGTGGCGACCACGTTGCAATCCAAGCGACCTTGCATCCAGGAGTTGGATCCCCAGGGGCGCCCTCGAGGGCGCGAAGTTATTCGCGCTTCGTGGTTCGGCTGTGATTCCTCATCCTCCCTTTCCCCCCCAACTACGACGACGACGACGACGAGGAGGAGGACGACGACGAGGACGACGACGACGACGACAAGGAGGATGACGAGGAGGACGAGGACGACGACCAGGACGATGACGAGAACGACGACGACGATGAGGAGGAGGAGGACGACGACGAGGACGACGAGGACGGCGACGACGACACGGATGACGACGACGATGACGAGGACGATGACGACGACGAGGACGATAACGATGAGGACGACGACGACGACGAGGACGAGGACGACGACGACGACGACGACGAGGACGACGACAGCGACGACGACAAGGACGAGGACGACGACGACGACGAGGACGAGGACGACGACGACGACGACGAGGAGGAGGACGACGACGACGAGGAGACGACGACGGCCAGGACGACGACGACGAGGAGGACGACGACGATGAGGACGACGACGAGGACGAGGACGAGGACGACGGCGAGGACGACAACGACGAGGACGACGACGAAGAGGACGACGACGAGGACGAGGTCGACGACGACGACGACGATGACGACGACGAGGACGAGAAGGAGGACGACGAAGACGAGGATGATGAGGAGGACGAGGAGTTGGACGACAACGACGACGACCACGAAGACGACGACGACCACGACGACGAGGACGACGCGGCCGACGACGAGGACGATGACTACGACGACGACGAGGAGAACGACGACGAGGAGGAGGAGGAGGAGGAGGACGACGAGGAGGAGGACGAGGACGACGAGGACGACGGCCACGACGAGGAGGACGACGATGACGAGGATGACCACGACGAGGATGAGAACGACGACGACGAGGACGACGAAGACGAGGAGGACGACGACGACGACGAAGGGGACGAGGAGGACGACGACTACGAGGAGGAGGACGACGACGACGAGGACGAGTTCGAGGTCCGCGGCGACGATCACGAGGACGACGACGACGAGGACGACGACGACGACGACGCCGAGGACGAGGCCGACGACGACGACGACGTCGACGACGACGACGAGGAGGAGGACGACGACGACGAGGACGACAACGAGCACTACGACGACGACAACGACGAGGACGAGGTCGACGACGACGAGGACGACGACGACGACGAGGACGACGACGACAACGACGAGGAGGAGGAGGACGAGGAGGAGGAGGAGGACGAGGACGACGACGATGAGGAGGACGACGACGACGAGGACGACGACGGCGAGGAGGACGACGACGACGAGGATGACGAGGATGAGGACGACGACTGCGACGACGATGACGACGACGAAGAGGACGACGAAGAGGAGGAGGACGAAGACGAGGACGAGGGGGAGGATGGCGACGACGAGGACGAGGACGACGATGACGACGACAACAAAGACGACGAGGACGACGACGACGACGAGGAGGACGACGACGACGAGGAGGACGACGACGACGAGGACGACGACGACGTCGTCGACGACGAGGATAATGACGATGAGGATGACTGAACGCGTGGGCGCAGGCTTGCTCAGCGCGCGGAGCGCTGCCTGGCCGTCGAGCCTTGGGCGTCTGGCAGCTGGGTGGGCTCACGTCCGAGACTTGGCGTTTGTGTTTAATCAAGCGGATCGTACCACACGCAAGCCCTCCGGGTCAAAGGGCCTCGCTTGATTCAGTGATGCACCTGGTCGCGGCGTCTATAGCTGAGTCTTGCACCAGTTATCCGTTGAATTGTTTTTCAGTTGTGTTTTGCCCTCCTCATCCTATATGCTCCTAACGTATCCTGCTCACCAGCCTCCTCTTCCTCGTTGCTTCCCCACCGTTATTATAATCCGTAGTTTTTTTCGGATCCTTTGTATTCCTCGGCTTTCGTTCTTATATCCCCATCTTCCTCAGACGGGTGTGGTGGAGGAGGGGGGAACCTGTGTTGTGTGACATCCTTGTGTGCTCTGGTTTCTGGCATATTCTCTAAATCATATGTTGCAAGCATTGGGATTCATCGCTTCCTCATGGAATGCTTGTGTGCTTAAGCGCTTTCCTCTCCGGCTGCTCTGTCGCCTGGAAGGTCGGCTGATTTCGGCGTTCGTCCGCCTCGCTGTGCTGCCCAACCCCAGCACTGTCTGTCGGGCCGGGCGAAAGGGGGGGATTGGGAAGGGGGGGGGTACGAAATTTTCTGCATGCAGCTGATTTCGGCCTCACCGAGGGGCCCATTCCTCGATACATGGGCGCCTCCCGGCGCCGGGAGGCGCCGGGAAAATCAGCTACGTGAGCTGATTCTCAAACCCCCCCTTTGCCCCCCCCCCCCCGCCCGACCCGAGTCTGGGCCTTTCCCCCCCCGCCTCGCGTGGCCGCTTCTAGCTGCTGCCCGCCCCTGGGTGCCCCGCGGCTGCCGTCCCGCCGCCCCGGTGCCTCCCCGCCGCGGCCTGGCCCCGATCTGGGCTGGCCCAGCTTCCGTCTCTCTCCCGCCTCACGCGCATTGCGGCGTAATTCGCACTTGTATGCCCTACATTTGCCCCATCCGCCAGTGCAGTCACTCTGCCTAACCGCCGACGAAAAAGTGTGTTTGAACACGTGATCGTGCGCGGGAAGTCTGCGATTCTTCGTTTGCCGGGAAGCTGATTTTGTTCAATATGTTTCTTTGTTGACGTGAAACCATTGGTGAATCGTACATGCGCGTGCAGGAAAGGCACTATTGGTATTGTTTCCTTCCGCAGCCACTCACGGAAGTCAGCAGCTAGATGCATGTATTGATGGTGGCCATTCTTCAAAGTCGTGGTCCCCCGTCGGTGCCGCGCTTATCTTCCCAAGTGGTACGCTGTTCAAGGATGGGTGGTGGATTCCCGTCGAACTGCTTGCGCTTTGGAAGGCTATCCTGTCGAAAGTAAAGCCTATCGTTGTTGCGTGTTCCGCATCTGCTACTGCCACACAGTTTCATGGGTCTGGTGGGCACTCGGCACTGGCTGCAGTGGAACACATCCTGCATTGATTTTCGAGAGGGCTTGGCACAGGGGATATTGCGAAGGCCTTGCGGTCGGCGCCGCCGACTCTGCATGGCGACGACGACGACGACGACTGATTTTCGAGAGGGCTTGGCACACGAGACACCTCATCATAAGTCATGTGTGCTGGGAGTACTATGGTCTTCCTCGCCCTCTTCCGCCTCCTCCCTCTTCTGAGCCGCGTCGCGGGTCCTTAGGACCAAAGACGGCCGGGGGGTGTAAGAGGGAAGCCGAAGAAGAGGAGGAGGACGAGGATGAGGAGGAGGACGACGAGGACGACGACGAGGATGAGGCGGAGGAAGAGAAGGTCGAGGAGGAGGCGGAGGAGGAGAAGGCGGAGGAAGAGGAGGAGGAGGAGGAGGAGGAGGAGGAGGCGGATGATGATGATGATGATGATGATGATGATGATGATGATGATGATGATGATGATGATGATGATGATGATGATGATGATGATGATGATGGTGATGGTGATGGTGATGGTGATGGTGATGGTGATGGTGATGATGATGATGATGAGGAGGAGGAGGAGGAGGAGGAGGAGGAGTTGGGCAGAACGGGGAGGCGATAATGACAAGGATGGAGTGTCGAGGTCGGCGACCTGCGCCTGAAAATGCAGCGCAATGGGGACTCCGAGTCGGCGCTCCGCTCGGGCGTCCTTGCCCGGGTTTGGGTGTGGAGTAGGGGCAGGGACCTTCCCTTTCCTGTCCCCCCCCTCCCCTCCCCTCCTCCCCTTGCCACGCCACTCTTCCCCCGCCCCATCTCCCTCTCTCTTGTCCTCCCGCCCTCCTCCCTCCACCTTCCTATCCCCCCGCCCGCCTCCTCCCCCCTTCTTCACCTCGCCCTCTTGCTCTCATAAGACCATGGCGTGTACCCAATAGCTGAAGAAACAAGCCCATTGGCTTCGCCTACTCATTTCCCCAGTTCCCGTCCCCCCGCCCTCCTCCATCCTCATCCCCACCCCACCCCAGCTTGTGAGTGGGAGGGGAGGGAAGGGGGAAGGGAAGAATGCGAAGGGAGAGGATGAGGGGACAGGGACAGGGAGAGAGAGAGAGAGAGAGAGAGAGAGAGAGAGAGAGCGGGGAGGAAACGGACGTCTGTGGCCCGTTGCAGCACAACCTTCAGATGAGTGCAAGGAGGGTTCGGGGTCAGGCAACAGCCAGGCAGGCGGACAGGGAGAGAATGAAAATGGAGGATGTGGCGGGATGTGCGGATGTTGAAGGGAGGGTTGGCACCGAGCGCCATTCCAGGCGATCCTTCAGTTCCTCTCCTTTCGGCCGCCACCGTGCGCGCGATGAGAAGCTCAGACTGGACGACTTGAGACTTGTGCCAATTTCTGGGCGCGTCGCTGGCCGGGAGGAGGAGGAGGAGGAGGAGGAGGAGGAGGAGGAGGAGGAGGAGGAGGAGGAGGAGGAGGAGTAGGTGGAGGGGAAAGGGGGAGTAGGGGAGGAGGAAGACGACGACGACCACCAACACGACGACGAGGACGAGGAGAAACAGGAAACGGAAGACGTTGAGGGCAAGGACGACGACGAGGATGAGGACAACGAGGATGACGGTACCGAGTACGAAGAGGAGGAGGACAACGAGGACGAGCAGGGGGAGGAGGGACAGGGGGAGATGGAACGACCGATTTCTTTCCTCCGCTTCGTTCTCCTCCCTCCCCTCGTCATCGCGTTCCCCGCCCCATGTTTATCTCCCCGCCCCCTCCTTTTCCAATCCCCGCTCATCCCACCGTCCGCCTCTTCCGTCCTCTCGTTCATCTCCATCGCTTTCTTCTTCCACTTCTCCTCCTCCTCCTCCTCCTCCTTCCCGTTCCCCTTCCCCTCCTCCCGTTCCTTACCCATTCCCTTCATCCTGCTCCTCGTCCTTGCTCCTCTTCCTCCCTCGTGCAGAGTATCCAGCTGCCTACGCCAAGACGCGCCACCATGCGTCGGTTGCGGGTAGTAAACGTAGTGGATGTTCGTTGGGTCGCTGGGATCTCGTGGGAGGCCTCTCGGGGGCCGCTCGGATGCAGTGTTGATACCTCTCGGGGGCCTTTTTGGGGCCTCTCCGGGGCCTCTTGGGCGCCTCCCTGGGGCCTCCTGCTCCTCGTCCTCCCTCGTGGAGAGCAGGCGACCGTCGCGACGACCACCACGACGCTGGCGGTGACGGCGGCGACGACCACGGCGAGCTGCCTGGGTTCCCCCGTTTCGGAGGGCACCAACTATACGCCAACACCGATGCTGGCCAGGATCACCCTGGGCCCAGGATCGGTGTATATGCCTTCTTGCGCAAGGCAGGAGGGCGTATACACCGATCCTGGGCCCAGGGTGATCCTGGCCAGGATCGGTGTTGGCGTATAGTTGGTGCCCTCCTACCGTTGGCCGCCCCGAGCGCAGGCGGCCACGGCCGCCTGCGCCCCCTCGCGGCAGGTGCCCCCGACGTTGGCGGGCGGCGGCGAGCCCGCGCCGAAGGCCGGCGCGCCCGAAGCGTGACTGGAAGAGGGTGGGCGTGCCCCCCCCGTGCTCCTCCTCCTCCTCCTCCTCCTCCTCCTCCTCCTCCTCCTCCTCCTCCTCCTCCTCCTCCGCCGCCTCCTCCTCCTCCTCCTCCTCCTCCTCCTCCTCCTCCCCTCCTCCTCCTCCTCCTCCCCCTCCTCCCCCTCCTCCTCCCCCTCCCCCCCCCTCCTCCTCCTCCTCCTCCTCCTCCTCCTCCTCCTCCTCCTCCTCCTCCTCCTCCTCCTCCTCCTCCTCGGGGTGTACGAAAAATCGTGCCCCCGCAATGAGTTGCTCGGCGCCCCCGCGCTGCTCCGCCGGCCCGCGCGGTCGCCCCCGTGCTCCTCCTCCTCCCATAGTTCCCCTCGGTCTCGGAAGGCCCGGCCCCGCTCTTGGCATGTTCCTCGTGCGGGGGGTATGCGACTGTCTCCGCGGGGGCCCGAGGCCTTAGAGCCAGTCTGGGGTCCCAGGCCGCGCTGCTCGACCTTGGGCGGAAGAATAAGTGGGCCTTTTTTGAACATCCAAGCATCCTAACCGTGCCCAGAGGTCGGGCCCCTGGCGGTCTCCTGGGGCCAGGGCGTGGGAACTCTTTTCTTGGTCCTTTGAAGAGCCAGGGGCCCAGCCTGGTGGTGCGGGGAGCGATTCTGCTCCTGTTCTTCGCGCTGGGCGCAGTTTGCGCCTAGCCGACTGTCTCCAGGCTGTTGGGTTGCATGAAGCTGAGGCGGATAGCCTCGCAGACCAGCTTCAAGTCAGCTCCTCCTCCTCCTCCTCCTCCTCCTCCTCCTCCTCCTCCTCCTCCTCCTCCATCCCTCCCTCGAAATGGTTTTCGAGGTCTTTGGGGGTGTCCCTCGAAGAGGACGATGGTGAGGTTTCTCCCACGGGGGGGCCCTGTCGCTGGCCCTCGGCGCGCTGCCTCGGCCGAGCCGTGCCGAGGTGACAGACCGGTCCTCTCCGATGGGCCACCCCTCATTATCGGTTAACCTAACCCCAACCCCATGAAGCCTCCCACCAGCCCACCCCCTCCCGCCGCCCCCGACTTGGGGATATACCCTCCAAAACCCGAGGGAGACGGCCTATATCCCCATCTCGGGGGGTAAATCCCCAAGTGGAGAAAAGGCCACCTAGATGGGGATAGGGTTCGGATAAACGATGCCCAACCCCTGGGGTGTTTGTCGGGGGCAGAAAAGAGGGGGGTGATGACTAGGGGGGGGTGGATATCATGGCGTGGGCCATGATGTCTCCCCAGATTTCAGGGCGCCTCTTCTTATTTTATTACGTCCCTGGCCCCCTCGCTGGGCCGCGCACATGCCGCCGGTCATAATTTGCCCCCCCCTCTTTGACGCCCCCCTCTTTGCCGCTCCCGAGTTTGGCCTGACAGTCGGGACTCTCTCTCTCTCTCTCTTTGTCCCTCAGTGGCGTGCGATCCCCCTCGGCCAAACGGCCTTGTTCTAAGAATAATGTTGAAAAAGGGTCTCGATGTTTCGAGGATGTCTCAGGCGAAGCTGCAATGTTCGAAGGTTCGGGTTCAAAATCATTGAATCCCGTTTTGTGTTCGAAGATTTGATGTTCAACTTGTTGAACAGGCCCCCGTCCTCCTCCTCCTCCTCCTCCTCCTCTTCCGCAGCCAGATTGGCTCAAGGTGCTTGCTCTTGAATCGGCATGGATACGTTTCAGGTTCCGGAATCACCCTGGGACCGTTCCGGGCGATTCTGGATGCTTTTTCCATCTGGCGCTTGAGGCCTTTTGGGCGCTTTTTCCATTTGGGCGCTCTCGAGAGCCTTATGGGCGCTTTTTCCACCTGGGCGCTCTCAAGAGCCTTATGGGGCGAAACCTGAAACACGTGATTTTACATCTGGGCGCTCTCAAGAGCCTTATGGGGCCGCCCCTCAGGGATGGAGGGGGTGTACCCGAGTCTCGAACATAGCAATTTCCCAAAGAAGTCTCTTATTTGGGAGCAGCCGTTTCGGAGCGCCCCAGATGGATTTTCACCCTGGAACCGTTCCGGGGTGAAAGTGCATCTGGCCTCCATTGCAAAACGGCGCTCTCGGGGATAGAGGAGGGGTGTACCCGAGCCCCCATCATGGTAATTTTCACATGAAGTTTCTGATTGGGGAGCCTGTTTCTCGCGGCTGGGCCCTCCCGCCCAGTGTCGGGAGCGCCCAGGTGGATTCCCACCCCGGAACCATTCCAGCAGGGTGCGAATCCATTTGGGACCTCCCCCAATGCAACACGGCGCTCTCGGGGATGGGGTAGGTGTACCCGAGCCCCCAACATGGCCATTTTCCACATGAAATTTCTATTGGGAGGACCTTTTCCTCGCGGATGGGCCCTCTCCCGCCCAGTGTCGGGAGGCCCCAGGTGGATTTTCACCCCCGAACCGTTCCAGGGTGAAAATAAATCCATCTGGGGCCTCTTGGGCTCTGACGGCCCAATGGGGCCCCGAGGGGAGTCCAAGTGGAGGAACTCCAACTGACAGTTCGAGCCCTCCACCACGAGTGGACCCCCCAGGCGCAGCAGGCACCCAAGAGGCACCCAAAGGCTACAAAATATACCCAAAGAGGCCCCCGCGTGGCCCACCTGAGGCCACAAGAAGCTTCAACACTGGCTCGACGAAGCGCCCGAGAAGCATGCCGCATGCCAAGAATCCAAGGATCCTCTGGCCCAACATTCAGGAACACTAGCGGTATGAACCGAAGGCCACAGATAAGCAAGTAATTGGTTTGGCGATGGACCCATCCCTATGCAGCCATGGGTAGCGCAGGACGCGGTCCTCTCTGCATACACTGTGCGCCGCGATCCAATGCGGGAAGATGGCTGGTGCAGAGCACGAGTGCACGGGCGTGCTGAATTCTTGAATTGTAGGGCACGATCCGCGTGAAGGGTGTGCCGAATGGTTCGGATACCCTCGCGCGAACGCCCCCACTACAGTCAACCCGCATAGTAAGGATGGGCAACCTTCCCAAGGGTACCCTTGCATCCTTGCCCCCTCGGCCCATGCTTCGCGACTTTCACTTGCCAACCTCGTTCGAAACCGTCAACTTGGCCCTCTAAGACCCTTGCATCCTTACCGCGCATCCTTATGAGACGGGTTGACTGCAAGGCCACAGGTGGACCTCTTCCAGGCACGACCCGTGCGAGGCATGTCCCGAATTGGGGGGGGGTACGCCATGCGAAGCTGCCCATTGGTGCCATAGGTGGAGCTCCTTCTGGGGCATGGTTCGCGTGACGGGTCTGCCGATAGGGGAGGGGGAGCGGTATACGAACTTTGGACCTTTAGGTGGGCTCCTTGTGGGCACGGTCCGAGTGATGGGGTGTGCAGCAATGGCCAGAGGGGCGCAGTGCGATTTTTGCCTATGGAGCCGCAGGTGAAGATCCCTGTGGGCCACGATCCGTGTGCGAGGTGTGCCGAAGCAGAAAGGAGGGCAGTATGCGAACTTTGTGTCAAGGGCCGTCCGTGGAACCCTTTGCGGGCCACGATCCGTGTGAGAGGTGTGCCGAAGTGAGCGGGTTCTGAAGCTTCACTCCGGTGCCGCAGATGCAGCTATTTGCGGGACACGATCCGCGTGAGGAGCGTGCCACTATGCGAACCTTGTCTCTGGGGACGTACAGTAGGTGGAGCTCCTTGTGGGGCGCGATCCCTTTGAGGGGTGTGCCGACAAGGGCGGGGGAACGTTAGCCAAGCGTGTCTCTGGGGCCGCAGGTGGAGCTTCCTGAGGGCACGGCCCCTTCGACAATCGATGTCCTCACTTTATGCTACAACTGGAGCTTGCTAGAACCTAAGCGCGCGCGAAGCGTGCGTGTTGTTCCCGTATATATGTGAAATATTATTGTGTTTTCCTCCTTCCCGTTCGGCGTGCACGTTCCGTTGCTAATAATTGTGCTCAAGCTCTTATGACCTGGCTGGCCGAGCCGATCCCCACACTTTTCGCGGCCGCGCGGGATTTGACCACGCTCGGACTCCACGTGGGGACCGCCTCTCTGGCCTCGAGTTGCCCTCCCTGTCCGACGTGCCCAAGCTTGACTTGCGCGACAAGCACCGGGCCGACTTGTCCAGCGGCGCACTGCGAGTGCAACTGCCCGGCGCCCGAGCCTGTCAGGTACCTCATCCTCGTCGGGGCGTTCGTGACTCTGGTCTCTGGCGCCGCGGGGCTGCTGGTCGGGCTCGCCGTTGGCAGTGGGGTATCGCTCATACGGCCACGGCGTCCGGCTCCCACCACCCACGCGTCATCATCCACGCCAGCAGCGTCGGTGACCACAGTCTTGACCGACAGCTCGGGGCCTGTCACGCCGGCTTCGCGCCGGAATGCCCTCGCTTGGTGTCAAGGAGACGCAGGTCCTCGTCCATTATCCAGAGGACGAGAACGGGCTTGTGTGGCACCATCGCGTTCTTCTGTGCCGTGTTGCTGGGGGCCGATGGGTATGCCTCACGCCCGACCTGGGCATGCAGATTCATGATCTCAACGTGCAGCGGCATCGCATCATCGGTCGGAGGGAGGCTTTCCCGCCCGACCTTGCGGCCCGCTGCTATGTCTTCGACGACGACGGCGTTGGCCGGGCGCAGCTCGACGAGCTCAAGCGCCAGGCCCGAGTGCAGGCTGCCATCCTCGGCGACGTGGAGTTCGAGGACGCCGAGGAAGCCAAGTGGCTGGTGTATGAGGCGGGGAACGACCATTTTGGCAAGGAGGTCCCCGTCGAGGTGTTGGAGGATGACCAGAGGTTCGTTTCCCTGGGCACGCTCGGGGTGGTCGACTGGCTGGGCGAGAAAAGGTTCGTGGAGCGAGTGGCGGCCGACAAGGTCGACGAGCGGAGGCAGAAGCGCGAGGAGACCGAGAGCGACTCGAGGATCCTCGGCATCCATCGCAAGCATGGGAAGCGGAACCTCGCGCTGCATGACGCGGCGCAGCTGTTCACAGAGGACAGCTTTGAGGACTGGCCGTTCCCTCCGCCGCGAGCATCCCTGGAGTATCTCGAGTCGATCCGCGATGGGCCTGGCTCGATGGTCGTTTACGAGAGCGAGTGGAGGCAGGACAGCGGCGTCGGCGACGGCACCGCGGCCCTCCACGAGCACAGGAACAACGCGGAGGTGCTCAGGCTGGCCCACCAGGTGGATCAGCTCAATATCCCGAACCTGGCGTGCTTCGAGCAGTTGGTTCGGCGCCAGGTCCAGATCGAGATGGCTGTGGAGCGGAATGCGAAGCACCCTGACTACGGAGGTCTGGACCTGGTGCTCGGCGGGCCGACGACGGAGAGTGGCGCTGCTTCCAGCAAGACCTTCCGCGACTGGGTCTACAAGAAGCAGGGCGAGCGCGCCCAGACGCTCAAGCAGGCCCGGCTCTTGCGCGAGGAGCGAACTCAGGAGGAGAAGCGAGCTCGTGGTGGCAAAGGTGATGGTGATGACTCGAGAGGCCCGAGGAAGCCGAAAGGCCCCGAGCAGGGGGGCGACGGCAAGGGCGACAAGTCAGGCGGAGCGGGGGGCTAACCACAGTGGTTGGCCCCCTTTCAGGCTTGGTTGGTCGTGCTCCATGGCCGACCCCGCCGCCAGTTCTGACCGCGGAGGTGCTGCCGTCCGACGGCGACTCCGTGCACAGCGGCGCCGCGGGGAGTTCTTTCCTCTCCCAGCGCCATCCTCTTCTCTGCCCGCTTCTCCCGGCGCTCCTCGATACGTTCGGCAGCGACGGCTTGAACAGCGGCATCGGCATCGGCGAGAGTGTGAAGCGGTTGGATCTCTTAACCAGCTCGCCGCCGCAACTACTTCTTTCTCGAGCGTCTCAAGTACGAGGAGATACGGAGGGGAGAGAGCCACGCCCTTGCAATGCGATGTCCTTCAGCACGTTGCACGGCGCGTCAAGGCGCACGGCCCCCCCCTTCGAGACCTGGACGAGAGTCGAGCCCTCGCGGAGCTCACGGCGTCCAGGGACCTGTACTCGCAGGAGCCGAAGAATCTCGCCGAGTACGACATCGACGAGCTCAAGATTTGCCGCTCGGGGACCGTGGCCAAGGACGCAAAGTCGCTCTTGCCGCCCGACGCGGCCGGCCTCTTCCGACACTACGCCCACTGCATCGAGAGGGACTCGGATCAGATACTGGAGTTGCAGGCTGCGCGTGACTTCCCGCGGCCATACTGGGATCCCACGCTTGCTCGGGATCAGGATGGGCTTCTCCTTCTCATCGATCGGCTTCGGCAGGCGAACCTCATCAGCTTCCGCCGCAAGCTCAAGGCCAAGATCGGGATCTTCTTCGTCAAGAAAAAGGACCCCGCTTGGATCAGGCTCATCATCGACGCCAGGCAGGCCAACCGGTGCCATCGGGCACCACCCAAGACAAAGCTGGGGTCCGTCGGCGGGTTTTGCGAGCTCGACCTTTCGGACTCCGCCCTTCGTGACCTCGGCGGCTTCGGGCCCGTGGCCGAGGTCTGGGGCGGCACCAGCGACGTCGACGACTGCTTCTACCAGATGCTGGTCGAGGAGCTCGGGTCGTGGTTCGGGATCGACATGCCTAGGACCGCGGGCGAGTGGGGCGTCTCCAGCGTCTACGACGACGACGTCGGGAGGCACGTCCCCATCGACTCGACCGCCACCCTCTACCCCGTCTTCCACGGTATGGCGATGGGGTGGTCCTGGGCGCTGCACCTGGCCAACGAGGCCGTCTCCTTCCTGGCCAGCAAGAGCGCGGTCTGCCCGCGGTCGCTCGTGCGCGAGCGCACGCCCGCCCCGGCCCTCCGGGTCGGACAGGCGGTCTCCGGCGTCTACGTGGCCAACTTCACGACCATCGCCGGGGACAGGCTCGGCGCCGAGGACTCGATCGAGCGGTTCAGGCGCGCGGCGGCGGAGGCGGGGATCGGCGCGCACGTCGACGGCGACGTCGGGGTGGTCTTCGAGAGCCTCGGGGTCGTCTTCGATGGCCGACAGCGCTGTCTGCGGCATCTGCCTCGTCGAGTGTGGCGCGTCTACTTGGCCACGCGGGCCTTGCGGCGGCGTCGCTGGGTCCACGGGGACATTCTGGAGATCTGGATGGGCCACGTGGTCGACCTGTTCGGGCTGCTGCGTCCAGGGCTGTCTTGCTTTCAGCAGGTCTACCCGTTCGTGGCCAACGCTCGAGGGCGACGAGTTCGCCTCGCTGACGCCGTCAAGAACGAGATGCGTCTGGTCCAGGGCCTGTTGTTCCTCTGCGAGTACGACCTGGGCGCGGATTTCAGCCGCGAGGTCTACTGCTCGGACACGTCGGACATCGGCTTCGCGCTGCTCTCTACCAGGGCGATGGAGGCTGAGCTGCGGGAGCATACCCGCTACCGCGAGAGATGGAGGTTCAAGCTGGTGGAGACCCTCTCTGAGGTCGCCCTGGTCAAGCCCGAGTGGGCCGAGTACGTTGGAGGCCGCTTGCGGCCTGGAGGTGGGGCCGATCTGCCCGAGGGTGCCTACGCTGACGTTGCCGCGCGAGGGTCTCGACCCTGTGCCATTGGCCCGCGGGCGCAGCATGGGCGCCTCCTGGACGAGGAGCGCCACCACCGCCTGGCCGACAAGGCCGAACGAGTCGGGCGACGGACTCGTGAGCCTCGCCCCCGACCACGGCATGAGGAGGTCGAGGTGCCCGGCGCCATCCCGCCAGTCGACCAGTGCTGGGACACGCCGCGCCGCTGGGCCCATCTGCGGATCGGGCGCTGGAAGTGGACCAAGGAGCACATCAACATCAAGGAGGGTCGTGCTTCCTTGTTCGGTTTTCGGAGAGCGACCCGCACTCGCCACAACCACGGCAAGCGGGTCGCGTCGCTGGGCGACAACCTCGTGTCCATCTGTGCTTTCGAGAAGGGCCGCGCGAAGTCGTGGGCTCTCAATTCGCTGGCGAGACGGGCGGCTGGATATCAGATCGCCGCTCGGGTTCGCTGGCACTCTCGGCATATCGAGAGCAAGCGGAACGCTGCAGACGCCGGCTCGCGTCTGCACCAGTCTGGAGGGTCGGCCGATCGGTCGTCACATCATGTCGAGCCTCGTCCAGAGCGGGATCCAGAGTCGTGTTCACATGGCTCGGCAGACCCTCCAGCTGCGACACCAGTCAAGCCACTCGGGGGTAGAGGACCCCTCCGAGCTGCTGTCCCGGGCAAGGAGACCGTGGCGCTCGAGCTCTTTCCTGGCGAGGCTGGCCTCACCTGGGCCCTTTGATCCCGCGGTCTGCGGGTCGGGCCACCCTGCGAATTGCTGCGAGGCGCGAAGTTCGACCTCACCAGAAAAAAAACACTCAGAACCTCATCAAGTCCTGGATCCTTGCGGGCCTCGTCTGGCATATCCATCTGGGGACCCCGTGCACGGCCTGGTCTATTGCAAGAAGGGGAGTGGTTGATCTGGGAAAAGCTCACGCCAAGGAAGCTATCGCTGTGGAGCTGGCCCTCTTCACGGCCGAGGTGTGCACGTTGGCCTCCCGATGCGGGGTCCTCTGGAGTCTGGAGAACCCTGCGTCATCGGGGCTCTGGGAGTTCGGACCCGTCGTGGACCTCATGGGGCTTCCAGAGGTCTTCAAGGTCACCTTCCACATGTGCCAGTATGAGGTCTCCCACAAGAAGCCCACCACTATCCTTGCCAACATGTTGGCCCTGCGCGGGCTCGAGGCGAAGTGTCAGGGGGGTCATGTTCATCGTATTCTTGAGGGTCAAGAACGAGTCTTGGGAGTTGATGGAGTCTGGCGAACACAATGCAAAACAAAGGCAGCAGGGACATATCCGCCGGCTTTGTGCTCAAAGTGGGCCTCTCTCATTTTTGCTATCGCACCATCTTCAGCAATTGGGTCTCAGCCATCGTTCGTGGATAAGTGGGATGAAGCTCTTACGGCACTTGTCGGACAACGGAGGTCCCACACCCACCACGGACCTGCTAAGAGGGCAAACGACGCCGACTCTGAAGACCTGCAGCGTGCTGAAGAGTACATCGTCGAGAATTGACTGTGCTTCGGGCGTCATCCTCCGGCCTGGGCCACGTCGCCAGAAGGCACAACGGAGGAAGGTGGTAGCCGCTAAGTCCTCGGCCCCCGCGGAGCGGTTCTTGCAGGAAAGCGCCGCGGGCGAGAAGTCCAAGGACATCTACCGACGTGAGCTCGCTCGCTTTTTCAGTTGGGCCGAAGAGCGTGGCCTCTCGACCAAGCCCGACGAGCTCGCGATCACCATGAAGCAGTACTTCTACGTTAAGTTTCAGGAAGGGTATGGGCCTGGCTTGGGCCGCTCCGTCTTCTTCGGGTACCTTTTGCTGCACTCCACGAACTACAAGCTCGAGAGGGACCGGCTCAGCGACGTCGAGAGGGCGCTCGCTGGCTGGGCCAAGCGGGCCCGCGAGACCGTGAAGGATCCCGCTCCCCAGGAGGTGCTGCTGGACATGCCTGTCTGGATGCTCGACCACGGGCGGGGTGAGAGCGCCTCGTGCATGGCCCTGCAGCTGGACGACTACGCCAGGCCCTCTGAGAGCGTCGATCTCGTGCTGGGCAACGTGCTGAGGCCGGTCGTCGGTGTTCGCGGGGCGCCGTCCCGCGACTGGGGCATCGTCTTTGCCCCGGCGGAGCTCGGCTTTGTCACCGAGACCGGGCAGGTCGACGACTCAGTGGTGTTGGGCAGTCCCTCTCGCCTGTGGGCACCACAGGTGGCAGAGGCTCTCGCGACGCGCGCCGCCGCTGGCACGCGTCGCTCGAGGGGCAGTCCACAGGCCAGTCCTACGACACGTCTGTTCGACTCACTTACCCCAGCTCACTACGAACGGGACTTCAGAGACGCCGCCAAGGCGCTCGGATACGAGAAGCTCAACATCACACCGCACACCGTGCGGCACACAGCCCCCTCGCACGATATCTACCACAAGCAGCGGACCTTGGAGCAGGTGCGACGCCGCGGCCGCTGGGCCGCCAAGAAGAGCGTCACTCGCTACGAGCGCCATGCCAAACTCTTCAAGCAGTACAGCAAACTGACAACCGTGCAGATCGCCAGGATGAACAGGTCAGTCCGTCAGTTCCCAGCTGCTGTACTCAAATACATTCGTGGTTGTTGAATGCTGTGCATTTTTGCCCACCCGTGCCCACCCTCTTTCTTTTGCATTCGTGACTACGTCCCAGAGTTCCCATATATGGGCAAAGATTTGGGAGTGCTCCGATCGGAGAGAGTTTCTTCAGCGCATCGCATAATGATTTCTTTGGACGGATTCGTTGCATCACACAGGTGATCATCGCAAGTGAAAATGATATATCTGAGGCCTTCGGCCGTTGTGATATCTGAGGCCTCTCGGCCGCCTTCCCTGGTGTAGGTTGTGGGTAGGCTCCTGGAGGCTCTGGGCACGCACTAAGGGCTCAGAGGAATGTGAAATATTATTGTGTTTTCCTCCTTCCCGTTCGGCGTGCACGTTCCGTTTCTAATATTTGTGCTCAAGCCCTCCCACCCACGAGCCACCCTGCTTGAGGGGAGTGCTCCGATCGGAGAGAGTTTCTTCAGCGCATCGCATAACGATTTCTTTGGACGGATTCGTTGCATCACACAGGTGATCATCGCAAGTGAAACTGATATATCTGAGGCCTTCGGCCGTTGTGATATCTGAGGCCTCTCGGCCGCCTTCCCTGGCGTAGGTTGTGGGTAGGCTCCTGGAGGCTCTGGGCACGCACTAAGGGCTCAGAGGAATATATATATATATGTATGTACGTATGTATGTATGTGTGTATTTCGCTGTCTCTCTATTTCGTTATTCTTATCTTCATTTATCAAATCCGAAGACTATTATTTCTTCAACCCTGACTCAGGGCGGCAGTTATCCCTCTCCGCGCATTTTGTTCACAGGGTTTGGTATGTGATGATTCATTTGGTACAGTGTCTCATCCAGCCGCTTCCGGTTGGTAGGGGTAAGCATTCATATATGGTACGAGCGCACCAGGCTTACAATCTCCCTCATTCCTTATTCTTCTCTCTCTCTCTCTCTCTCTCTCTCTCTCTTGCTCCCTCTCTATCGCTATCCCTCCCTCTCTCTCTCTCTCTCTCTCTCTCTCTCTCTCTCTCTCTCTCTCTTGTTTTCCCCTTTCTCCATTCCCCTACCGTCGGCCGCGCCCTGTTCCAGTTCGGCTTCGGCGCCGTGCTGGTGCTTTCCTCTGCCAGTCGCCCGGTCGCCTATATCCTTTCAGCTTGGGTAGGCGATCGACGCAGCATCCCAGAGTGCCCTCTGATCGCTACGCCAGCAGGCTGCCCAGTTCGTCCTGCCAGGTCAGTTCCGCCCCTGATTCACACTCGCGTTGCAGGCAGCGCTGTGCTGCAAGGATGCCATCGCAACGGGCCGTTGAGATAAAACATGTTTGGTGGTTGCGTATTGGAGCGGCTTTGCGGCTGGCGCTGCCGACTTTGCAGGGGGGCGGCGGCCGATTGCGGCGGCGTCGGCGGCGACGACGACATTGATGTGTGTAGAGTCCTCAGTGATGCTTCGTGGGGCCTTCCGCAGCCAACTTTCCTCGAGTTCTGAGTTGCCCAATGGCCCGAATCAGTTTCGCTGTCGGGGTAATGCGGGCGGCCAGGTCTGGGATGGCATACGGTGGCTTCGCCGCAAGGAGAGCGAGGCAGCGTCGCGGAGGCGCAGCGGGCAGGGAGGTCCGCGAGAAAGTGATGCGGAAGGCCAGGTTCATCGAGGCGGGCGACGTCGAACGCCAGGGCTCGCTCAGTCCTCGGGCCTCCAGCGAACCCTGCGGCGGGCCGTCGGTCTGTGGCAGCGTGTGATTCGACGCCGACCGCATGCGCGCTGCTGCGTTGTCGAAGCGCATGGAAGAGGCCTGGGCCTCGAACGGCAGGGAGACGATGGGGAACCGCACGGAGCGCATGTCTGCAGCCGCGGCTACCATACACCTCCTACCTGAGCAGTTGGGCAGCGTGGTACTGACCAAGGCCCAGAGCCTCGCCGACACCGTGAATTTCCATTTGTCATCAGTGCAGAGCGCCATCCGCCGCAGCGACGAAGACGACGTCGTCGATTTGGTCGTCGATCAGCTGGACAAGATCCCAAATATCATCAAGAATTGCTTCGACTCGACGATAGTAGAGGCGAACGATGCCATAAAGATATTGAGTGCCATCATGGAGAAGTTCAATACTCATGCTCGTGAGCGCCAAAATTTGCTCACGCAGCTGTTGGCCATCCCAGAGTAGCTCGAGCAGATCACCGGGGAGGCGCCTGACCAGGCCGCGCAGGAAGCCAAGCGGAAGGCGGCCAGTATTGCGACCACATCTTGCAGAGGTGGCCACAGGATGCGGGTATCAGCCGCTGGGCGCTGAAAGAGGCCAAGTCTCAGATTTTTGAGTCGGTGCTAGAGATGTGCTCCGATACGATGCGGGCCTTGAGGAGCACGACCAGCACGAACTTCAACATCGTCGTTGCCTGCGTGGGCGACCACAACGAAGTGCCTGTCACGAGCGAATTGGTCGCTGACGAGCTTCTGCGGGCGAAGATGGGCACCCTGCCGAAGACGGACGGCGCGTGTGCGAACCAGTCCAGTCATTGCGCGGCCAGCATGCTGGGCCGCGAGAAAGACGGCGGCGCCGACGGCGCTGTAGCGAATCACCGCGGTGGGTGGCGGGCCAGTCACGCCCCCAGCGCCGAGTGTGCCAACCATTCCAATCCTGGGGGCCTGGGCCACCTCAAGATGCGCGTCTCGCCGTGCCGGCACTTCTGACAGGGCCAGCGCGCCAGCGGCGACGTCGACGAAGCCCACGCCCTCCTGCAGCTGTCCCTGGACACGCTGCTCGGGGTCAACGGGTCGGCCGTTCCCGCGGCCGAGGCGAACCTAGTAAGCACTACGCGGCACCGCGCGTCGTCTTCTGGTGACCTGTAAGAGTGACTTGTCGCCAATGCGCGGCTTTACGAAGCGGCATCATAAGAGTGCCTATCGACGCGACGGTAGAGGCACGACTTCGCACCGCCACCCGCTGCCGCTGCCAGGCTCTTTGGAGTGGCCATCGGCAGGGACCGCGAAGGTCGACGGGTCGCGGCTGTCGCCCCTAGGGCCACCCCTACGGCACCACTGCGGATTGAGGCAACGACTCGGTGACGAGTGGAAACCTACTAAATGTCCTCTCTCTGCGTGGTTGTTGGACGGGCTCCGCGGGTGCCGGCCACTGCGGCGCTTAGGCCGTTGCGGGTTTCTGTTGATTGTCGTTGTGGCGAGTTTTTGCCAGCGGGGGCGCGGGGGCACCGCGTTTTCCACCCAGCGCCGTTTTCGCGGGCACCTTCTTCACTGGTGTGCCGCTTGGGCTGCTACTGATCATTTTTCAGCGCTGCCGCATGATGCGGTAAACTAACACGCGGCGCCGCATATGCTTCCATATGTTGAGTAGCAATTTAGGTTAGTGGGTCAACTCCAGAGCTAGGGTGTCCCACCAAACCGTTCGCACCAGCGGCGACGGCGCAGGTTCTGCCACTGCCCGCATCCGACTCGGCGGCGCGCGCACCTCGGGGCGCGGCACAGGAAGGTTTCGAAGGGGGTGGCAGCGGCCGAGTGCTTCGGCATCGTGCTGCCCGTCCTCGAGCGGAACATGATCACGCTTCGCTTGGCCACAGCCGCGCCCCATTTGCTGGCTGGCCAGCAGTGCGCTGGGCTAGGCGGATCCATCGTCGACACTAGCAGCCAGTTCATTGGTGGGGAACTGCATATTCTGGAGGTCGTTGTTGGGGCAATGTCCACGCGGTCGCTCCCGGCGGCGCTGCGATGGAAACTGGGGGCGCAAAGTTCACGCGACAAGGCCTGCTCGACGCGCGGTTTCTGGAAGTGCGCGAAGCGGGGTTTCTCGTTGACATCGCGGAGGAGGTCCAGGAGGACGCTGGAGTTCGGCCAGCCCATGAGCGGGCGTGCTTCGCGTTTCGCGCATCCTTGATTATCTTCCTCCTGCTCCAGGCTAAAGCACCAGGCTAATGGACCAGACGAACGCTTACGGTTAAGAACCGCTTCGTTGAAAGGCTGCCGCCTCTGCCGCCGACCCCAGTGTTGTTCTTTTGCGGAGGGGGGCCCTGGGCAATCTCTCTTGAAGAGCCACGGTGGGTCATGGGATGACACATATACATGTCTGCATAGTCGTACGTATGTGTGAGGAAATGTCTGCGCATACCTGTGCGTGTCCGTCTGTAGCCAAACGCTGCGAGTTTCTTGGTCTTCGCGGAGGCTGTTTGGGGTTATTCTTGGAGGTTCCTGGAGCCTTTGGTGACATATTCGAAGCTTCTTGGGGCTTCGTGCTCACTTGAGTAAGAAGCTATGGGGAATTGATTGATGTTCGTTTTGGAAGCGTTTTTGGGGCGTGCCCGCGCACGTTCCTCGAGGCTTTCTGGGGGCTTCTTGGGCCGCCGGAGCGCTTCGTGGAAGCTGCGCGGGCGTGATCTTGTCGTGAGTTGGGGTCCTCTTGAACTGCGTCTGGGGCCCCATGGGCATTCATGGGTTGACGTGGACACATGAAAAAGTGGATGTCGAGGCTCCGAGAGGTTCCCCTGGGCGCCGGCGCGCCCGCCCCTGTTTGTAGAACGAGTTGTTGGGCGCCAGGGGAGGGGCGCGGCAGGGGGGGCAGAGAGCATCATAAGGAAGTTAATCAGAAGCTGGCCTACGCCAAGGCGGCCAAAACTGATGAAGACGTTCGACGTCTATGGACCTACTGGGATCAATGCCCGGGTGGTGCGTTGTCTGATGATAGGTGCGACTCGGAGGGCGACTGCGTCGCTGCGTCTGCGAGGAAGGCCTCAAAGAAAACAAGTGTCAAACGAAGTGGCCCTGTGCGTCTGGGACGCGCGAGGTTCACGATTGACACAGGGCGCGGGTCCAACTTGATAGCGGTGCGCTTTCTTCGGGAGGCCGTGCTGACGGACAGGATCACTCGTTTGCGAATGCCTATAGCCCTTACTAATGCAGGAGTGCAATCGCAGGCCCTCGGAGCCGTGCACATCGCTAGCGATCAGTAGTGCGGGGGAAGCGCTGAGGCTGTTGTCGTGCCGG